TTCGGTTTTAGCTATCGTTGCCTTGGGCGGGTGACTAATGACCGTCGGTTGACCACGTTTTACTGATGTCACAAGCGAAAATGATCGTCGGTGCACATAGAGGATTCGACAGTGACTGGCGAATATAGTTTCTTCATAGTGAAGTAGATTTTTTATGCGCCTACCTAATACTCTCATTCCACGTTCACCATGTTCCAATTAAGGACAGAATCAAAATAAGCGGAGATGAGCTCGACCGCGAACGCAGCGACTGACGACACCGGAGTTCCGTCTACCTGAAACGAACAAGAGCTAATCCCCAGCATTATAGGAATCAGTTTTGCATGAGAAGCTATCAGGTCAGTTAGCAACCCCGGTCACGATTAATAACACGACATGCGAGCACAAATACGCATTCGCTTATTGTTAGTGTGCAAAATAAAGACTCCATCTGAGCTGTAAAGATATCATTCGTCTCTGTCTCCCATACCAGTGGCAGGTCCGGTTCACGCCGTTTGAAATGGAGACTGGGCACAGTGTCTGATGTGGTGAGGTCTTCCTTCTATTGTGTCATATGTTTTTGCCTACTTTTCAAAGCCCGGTATTCCTATTCGGAAAAGTTTTGGTTCCAACGAAACCATTGATTGAATGATCTAGATCCTTCGATATGCTCACACTTTGAACTGATTACTTCAGTGCTGATTATCGTTTAATGCAGGTACAACTTAATTCACACATGACACCATACTGACTTTCCAATAAGCAGTTTGTCAGTCGGAGATAAATTATAATTTAAATTAGGTTATTTAGCGGCGCCATCTAGCAGACTTCTCCTTGTGTTTTTTTTGCATCTACACTGAAACGTTAATAACTATGTACTTACTATTAGTAAGTAAACAAAGTTTATGTGGATGTTTAGATGGTGGATCAACCGGGCGACCCCAGGACTACTTTGGAGGCACCAGTGTGTGCAGCACCTCTGCTTTTGTGCCGATCGCTCACGAAGAGACGGTCGCAGAGTTTCGCCGCGGGGGCAATGTAAACCTTCTCATCACCACACAGAGCGCAATG